GAGGGGAGGGAAGGGAAGGGAAGGGAAGGGAAGGGAAGGGGAGGGAAGGGAAGAAAAAGTCCTGCCAGGTCTGTGCTTGAAAGAGGGAGCTGTGAAGGGCTGGTGTTATCTGTGCTCTGGCAGTGACACTTTGTTATCATTGAGAAACATTTGCTGCAGCCCCAAACTTGCCGAGGTTGGGGTCTGTTTCCTCTCTAATAAACTGCTGGCCTTTCACTTAGCAGAGCAGGTTTTGTATTTGACATGAACACAACTGAGGTGACCTTATTTCCCTGCATCAGCAGCCACCATTTGCCTCATGAGCAACTTGTAATCCTCCGAGCCCCTCTGATCTGGAATGAGCCACAAGAACAGTGGAAAGCAGGGCTTGCTCTGCAGTTTTTCCACCTCCCAACCACAGATGCCTGGCAGACTGTCTGTGTTCAGTCGGCCTGGGTGCGCCTGGCAGCATACAAAGGTTCTGGTGCCACATGTAGTCTCTGGACATGTTGGAAACCCAGCCAGGAGACTCGCTGCATAGACACAGCATCCAGTCATAAGAACTGTGGTAGCCTATATCTGTGCTGAAACATGGACGAAATCTCTGTGCCTCTGATGAGCTACAATCAATGCACCCTTCCTTTGTAAAGCGCGTAGATGTTTGCAGATGAAAATAGTGATGGTATGAGATGCCAACCCTCTGCCATGCTACAAGGTAAGTATTCTGTCCTCTTAGAACTGGAGGAATAAACCTTCCAGGAGGGAAACATTTTTACAAAACCAGATAGTGAATTTTGGCATGGTCTCATCAGCAAGGTGAGGATGCTACCAGTCATTGTAGTAAGAGAGGCTAGTGCTAGTGTCTGGCTGGGTGATGGGAGGTTTTAGATGCAAATGGCAAAAAGAGGCACTAAAGTCAGTATGTATGTGAAGAAAGGGCCTCCATTTATGGTCAGTCATCCCTTTCATGTCCATTACAGTTTTCTCTTTGCTTCCTTTGATGCTTTCTGTATAGGCTTTTAGACATAGGGCAATGACTTTAACAGTGCGTCAGCTGAATCTTAATTGCTAGTTCTGCTGTTTACTGGCCAGTCTCTAGCAGGACCAAACAAACTTTTGTTGCTCTTGACTCTTCTGCAATGGCAGAAATGCCCAGTGATACTAAAAATGTTGTTTGGTACTGAATGTTTCTCCTTCATGGTCTTAGTCCACAGCACCAAACTGTAAAGCACATGGTTATTAATCCATTGCATCAAGTCTGGAGCCTTTCTATCTGGAAGTGAGATGTAAAGCTCAGTCTGTGCACTAGACCAGGCTCAAACAAATCCCAGAAGTTAATTGTCTAGTTTTCTAGAGCATTTCACACAGTTTTCCGAAAGACACAGGTGAGTGGACAGATGTAGGTGTTAGTCACAAAGACCAGCTGGGAAGTGTAGAGATATCCATTGGCTCACTTGATTGTCCCCATTACCCAACAGAGGAAAATAAATTTAACCTTTTGAGAAGTCTGCATACTGAGAGTCATTGAATCTAGTTCTATCTTTGGTCATACAAACACCTTCCAAAAGAGCTAAACCAGTCAAAAATCCATAAGAAGCCATCTCTTTCATCCACCCCTATAAAAACCCTGCTATGTGACTACTAGACAAGACTGCAGGAAACATGCAGTTTTCTTTCTTTCTTGGAGAGCTAGCTATAAGGAGATTATTATACCAGCTGTAATTGTTTGAAAACAAAGAAATCTTGACATTTCAGAGCTTTTTTAATTTCTAAGAATGATTAGCAATGAAAAGCAGCTTACACAAGCTATTCAGATATCCTCAAATCTTCCATTCACTATTCTTTTTCTACCTACTTTGTCCTGTACTGCCTTTATGATGGAATTGTTGGTTAATAGGATCAATGAGTAATTGCATTTCCAAATGGCTGAAATTTTAAGGCTGAGAAAGAACAGTGCTACACTGATACAGAAATGGCAGATGAGGCTGACAAAAATAACTGGATCCAGATCAGTTCCTGCTGTGCTATGCTGGGTGGAATTTCATTTTGGTCTGTTTGTAGGAGTAATCCCTTTGTTTGTCTCCCATATGCAAATGCCTCATGTTGTCCATGCTGATACACCCCATTTAAACTGTAATC